ATATTCGAGATACATCTTGAAAAAGTTCAACCAAATAGTAAGAAATCATCGACTTCTACTAAGCACGAGCGGAAGCATCTTCCACTCCCCAACTATGATGTGCCACTAGAAGGGACAAAACTTGAAATGAAAGACAGGACTTGAAAATTGTAGATAAGAATGTGTTGCACATAACCTCGTCGAGAATAATGGCCGATATTGAGACTCCTGAACGAACTGCTCGGGACGACTCTGTATCGGTACACTAATGCGAGGAGAGCGCTGGAAAAGACTAATGCGAGGAAAAACGACACCAGACTCTCGTAAATGATACTGAAATAGTACACAGTCGAACTATTCGAGGCCGACGGGGATATGTCCTGCCTCTAATGAGTTGACTCTTATGTTATCACATTCAAAAAGAACTCCTCAGTTGATATCCACGTCATATCGAGACCACCAATGAGTACTACTCAAAAAAGGTTCTTCACTGCTGTGCTTCGGTGGCTGCCGAGAATAGCAGCCCAAATTACACCAGCAACATGAAATACTCATACTACTATAGCCGATACACTAGAGCTGTTGAACGGCTGGGTCTGATTTAAGACAACGTTAGATATCGGTAAACCGTATACAGTGAAATCAGTAGCTGCAAAAAAGGTAATATTTGAAGCGGAGCGGAGATGAGATAACACCGCTTGATCTATGGGACGTCCAGTCATGAGCTCCACCTTCGTGTCGATCACACAAGACTCGGTACAGTCATCAGAGATCTCCAGCGGGGGTATAATCATGGTCCCCAAAAACCAGTTCTCAGTGAGGTCACGTAGATGTACGGAAGGAAGAACCAAACCGATTTTGGTAGCAAAAGGCGCGTTGGAGACCTCGAATGACAGATGGCATTCATAGCAGGCATCGTCGTAAGTACTGTATATGCACTGAACTTGTTGACCGATATGTAGTTCCCGAACTGACCAGTTCGACTGTTGGACAAATAACGCAGCTAGGTACGGGACCACGAGTAACCGGAGTGCAAGTCTTGCAATGAGAGTGAGAGCAGCACATAGTAGGATGATATGTACAAGTAGTAGAGGCCATCGTGATGACTCTCCCTTGTGAGTGATAGAGATCTTCGGTGAACCATCAGGAATGTAGGAGCATGGGGGCATTGATATTCCAAACTGAAGTCACGCCCTAGAAACTCGTTCGACCAGTTCATTGCTGCTAACAGAGCAGTGTGGGAATATATGCATGTGGTCAGCTACATGTGTTGATAGGAATATGGAAATTTTGAGAAAATATCGTTGATTTTTGTGTACTTATACCCGAAGTTGTGTGATTTTTCATAATATAGTGAGTAAACCTACAAGCTCAGTTGAGGAAACCAAACATATATTCCCAAACTGCAACAGAGTCTCATTCGTATCTGACATGAGCAACTCTTTCAACCCGTGACGCCATTTTATGGCGAGCGCTATTTCCCAACAGCGCGATGTAAATCTCGCTCGCCCATTAATTGATCAGGCAGCTACTCTAACCGAACGGAACGTAAAGCTGGGGTGATCCTCATAGTTGGTGTAGTGTCGATGGCTGTACTGGGCCTTCTTACTTCATTTACATGGTCATTGCTACGTGGACCAACAACAAGCCGTGTCGCTCTGGAGGGCTATTTTAGTGGTGGAAACACAATCAACATGAGATGTTGCCATTAGGTTTCCAGACAGATCACCACTACTACTTCTAAGCATATCCTCGACACTGACATCCCTCACCTCCCTATCTCGACTAGTCTATACTATTGGCCTCAATACAGTGCTCATCGCTATTTCCATCATATCTTCCCGTTTCCGAGGCCGTTGTGTAACGGTCTAGCGAATGGATATTGTGCTAGCTACTATAACGATGACCCTCAATTACGATTGTGATCATCACCATCGTTCAGGGGTCGGTATTTTCAGATATCATAAAGACGCCGCTAGGGTAAGTGATGTAGACGCCGTGGTTGACCACCGTGTTCATCCTCGACCTGCCATAAACGAGGTAGGACTTGTGTAGGGGTTAGCACCAAGGTTCAATCCGCGGCTAGGGCATTTTACTCAATTCAGGTGTGGAGTCGGGGGAGTATGCATATGGGTGGACGACGGAGCAGTGTGGGGGGGAAATATGCACATGCTCATCTACATGTGTCGCCGACGCAGTGCTGGTGACAGGATGATAATTTTGGGGTGAAATTTCTGCCGACTTTTGAACACTTCTACTCAAATTCTTGTTAATACTTAGTGAGGAAACTCCTGAGCTGAGATGAGGCAACCAAACGTATATTCCAACACTGGCATTTTCCATGCTAGGAATGTGCGGAGCGAATTAAGCAGCATTGTTTAAATTTCTCAATGACCAACGGCGTTGTAGTAGATGAGGACAGTACTTGGGCAC